ATCGCTATTCCACGAGAGTTGCCATGAAGTCAAACCATCATACAATCGAAGGTCATGCTTGAGTAAGATCTCTTCTTCGACATCTCTCCTGGAGGGGGAAACTCAGTGCCTAGGAAGACAACCTGGGACAAATGCGACGCCGTCCGCGCAGCATCACCAAAGGACTCCTTCGTACCAGAAGGAATAGTGGAAGTCATCATCATGCGATCACGTCGAGGAGCTGAAGCGTGCCTCGATCTGTTTAAGTCCTCTTTGTCAGCACTGTATTTCTCCTTCTCTTCTCACGAACGCATACGGCTTGCCCCTGCGTGATCATCCTTTCCCCTCATGTCATCATGATGTCTGTGCGATGACTCAGATCGACGATCGGTGATGACAATATTTCGCTCTAACTCAGGTCGACGCGACCTAGGTGCAAGGGTTCCAGTAGTGCTAGCTCTGGGGACAGACGTCGACGGTCTAGCTCGCTGAGTCACTCTCGCGCTCAATTCTGTTCTGGCCTCGGCAGCTCTCCTCTCACGAGCAGATGGTTTTCTCGCATTATCCGACATCTCTACTGAAGATTTCAACGAAGCAACTCTGCTGCACACCAAACGACAACGATATGAGTCAGTGTCGCTCCACAAAGCCAGCCTTTTTACTAAGTCATCAAATCACTGAGTCGCCGAATTTAAAAAAAAAAAATTGACTCGTTGACCGAGTTGAATCTGTCACCGAGTCGACTCAGTTAGTGAGTCAACTCACCAGGTCTCGAACCGCTGGCTTTCCACACGATCTCGCCACGCCTCTCTCTCTCCTCACCACGAAGCTCGCCGACTATCGACTCTCTCTCCTTCTCTCGACACGACCGAGTCATCACGGGGAGATCCCGTCATGAAGTTTTTGTCGTTGCGAAGACGTTGTCGTCGGCGATAGAGATTTCCACTGCGGGAAGACTGCGTCACGAAGCTGTTGTCGTCAGTGAACGTAGCTTCGTCGTTGACAGCGAACATTGTTTCGCCGGGGGTGATGAACGTCGTCGAGATCCATGTCGCCGGAAGATCCACGTCGCCAGAAGTTCGATTTGCTGAATTGGAAGATGAAGATGACGACGCCGACCATCACGGTGTGGCCTGACAAAGTCGATAACGGCGAGAGAAGCAGCGGCGGGTCGAGGTGAGTCGTAGACGGTGTCTTGTTTCGTACG